TTTTAGAAAAAAAAATTCTGAAAGCAAGAGTATTTGGCTTGGGCCACAGGATGGACTTCTTGAGGTTCAGGAAATTCTTACCAGTGAATACAAAATTCTGTGAGCCTGTGCATTTTTCTGAGGGGAGGGGTCACTGCTTCTATCCTATTTTTAATGGTGTGTGTAATCTGAAAGGCCTATTAACCATTTTTAAAGCATCATCTGTATTTTATTGATTCTTATCAAGATCGATTTTTTAGGGTTTTGGGACTCTCCAAAGTCGTATGATCACAATGACATCTTACCAGGCATCCAAATTTCACCACTTCCTTCAATTTCATGTCAGAGATGCCGATTCTAGACAACGTTAACTTTAGACATTTAAAACAATTTTCGCCTCCTTCTCCTGAATTATATCCACTTCTACTAATTCCGTGCGCAGGAGTATTTTTTAAGGGTCAGTATTTCAAAAACCATTCCATTTCACTATGTGCAACATAAAATTGTAGTTTCCTTTAAAGGTTTCCTCTTACCCATTTATTCCTTAGTGGATAGCGTGGAAATGATATGAGGTACTAAGATTATATGTGGCATTAATGCAAAGCAAAAATGCTGCCTAAAGCACGTTTTATATAACGGCAAATAAAAATGCTAAAAGCAAAAAAAAAAAAAAAACCACCTGCTGAATCTCGTATTTTAACCTCCTCTACCTCAAGCAGGAGTCCTCATTATAATCGTGAGCTTCCAACGGGACGATGCGATTCTACTTCCAGTGGATTTCGCTACCCTTCCTTCCAGGGAAATGGCCTCCTGGATGAGGGGCTCCTAAATGATGTCACCTTGGGAGGGAGAGGACAGGCAGGAGGGGAGCGTCTCAGATGACTGGTTTCAAGTTCAAATTCTTTACAGACGGCCTGAAACTGTGGTCAGCTTTCCGCTGTAAGCAACACACAAGGTTTACTTTCTTTCCTAACTTTAATGCTGCCAGAATACACATGTACTTTTACTTTCTTAGGAGAAAATGTGTCATTTGATTTCCTTCCAGTTTATGTACTCGTGCCAACAACTAAAATGCTTAAAGAACCAAAATGAATTACTACCCAGAAACGGTGGTCAAAGTTCCAAAACTCAATCAATAAAATTGCTCATCTACTCACAAATTAATCTTCAGCCAGTAAAGTTACGCGTTTTCAAGGTTACGAGCACACCTGCACCATTAAGCATTTACTTCATTTGTTCAAGCAATCTTCAGAAGCATGTAAATATTTAGAAAAGCAAGTCGACTATTTTTACCCACATACAATTTTCTTTTTCTGCAACAAAACCTTGCTAATTCTTTGACAACTTCTAAGCATCCTGAGGGCAGGGTCTGTACCCTTGACGGTCTCCTATGTACATAAGCGTCAGCAGGGCGCCCTGTGTGTGGAGGCGGATCCAGAAATGCTCACCAAGTCATCTCTAATAAATTCAGGTCATCCTCATCCTGAATTTACCACGGGGCCAATTTTCAATTTTCATTTGTGTCATTTATTAAAAGAAAAAAATTTTGCAAGGCAGCTCAAGAGGCTAAATAAGGGGCTGTTTAGGTTACCGAGTAGAATGTTTTTTAAGAACATCAAAAGCAGTATCTATACCAATTAATGTCTTCATTATATAAACCACACGTCACCCAAGAATGTGGCCAGCTCCGACTTCGGTCTGTACGTGTAGCGGGAGAGAACGTTTCTCACTCCTATTTACTCTCATCATCCTGAAATTAGTCCAAATTGCTGATGTTTGACTACATTTTGTGATCTCTATCGAGTAACCACTCCGAGCCTCCTCTAACTTTCCATTCTCTTTTGTTTGTTATCATCAGCCTGTGAAACTAGAGAGCACTGCCAAACATAAAGCAGAGAAGTGTGAGATATGCCTAAAATATAAGTCACAGTATATTTGGGGATTTGGGTTTCTTTTTTTTTTTTTTTCCCCTCAAGCAATCAGTAGATCAAATTCTTGTTCCCTGTCAAGCCTTCCTCGATGCGGAAGATCTGAAATTTGCTAAAATAGGTCTCTCGGTGTGGTTGTGAAGGGTATGCACGACAGAAATGAACCCTGGTAAGATCTGTGATAGGATTTCCCTCTCATTTGAGAGGCCCATTGGCTGGGGTGCCCCAGCGAGGACATGGGATGGCAAGGGATCTTTCTGAAGGTTATTCCTTCTGTGAATCACCGAGTCTATATACGTACTTTCATAAGGAGGTAATACACCGTGTGACCTAGGTTAGTAATTCCTCCTTTCTGTTTGTAGAAGGTCAGCCAACCTAATAAAGCCTGGGGAATTTGCATGACCCTACCAGGCAGCTGACAAGATGTAGCCTATGATGCACACGCATGCACACACACACACACACACACACGCACGCACGCACGCGCACAGTCAACCTACTATTTCCCCCCCCATCAACTCTCAAAGCCGGTCTAAATTCTATGCTTGTCAACTCTCCTACAGTGGGGTGGGAAGGGACTCAAAACATCTTATTTAGCAAAACCAGCATTCAAGATGGCCCCCTCGCCCCACACTTTTTATACAGACTGAAGTGCTCAGCAGAATGTGTTAGGTTGGTTTTGACACTGTCTTTGCCAAGAAAAATGAAGCTCTCTGTATCATACTCTTCTGGTGGCTGAAAACCTTATAACGGGCAAGAAAAAGAGCCCTCAAAAGGAAATCCCCTGAAACTTTACTTCATATATTTAGCCCTAAAGCAACTTCGTTCATCTTGGAAAAGAAGTTACCTAAAAATGCCATATGTCTTTAAAAAGCAAGTATGAGGGAATATAAGTCTAGTATAAAAAAAAATTACAAATGATCTTCAATCCTGAAGAGCAGTGCATCAGGCAGACTGTGTATATGTGTACTTTTTAAAATTATTCCTAACCAAAGCTCTACTACGTATAAGATTCCCACCTCTGCCCAATAACATATTGTCATTTTTCCAATGCACTTGAGGTCTGATAAATTCAAGAGGACTAACGGTATTTTTAAGGCGGTTAGAACTCCAAGAGGGAGGCCAAAAGAATGGACAGTCATTTGAATCACTGAGTGACAGGCTGGGCCAGCTCCCTGTATACATTAATAAATTAGAATTTTAATTGTGTCTCTGTCTGCAGGAGATGCCCCAGCACTTTAATATGTACCAACAATTGGCTATGTTCTGGAATCCGCAATGTGGCCTCCGCCGCTGACCTCTGAAACACAATTCCCAGTCTGACTACGGAAACTGTTCAGTTTGATCCTTTCAACTTATTTGAATCCTGACAAATAAGCTCACAGCTGAAAGGTCAACACAGTCATATTTCATCCTCCAGAGCTGTTCTTAAGACATCTGCACAACAAAGCACTTCTTACGGCACCTGACACGGGACCTCGACGGCACTGCACCTCATTAAAAATGTCCCCAGCACTCACACGCGCAGAAAGGCCGACAGAGAGCCAATGACGGTTTACGACAGAACTACCTGTGTCCTTAACTGTTAGTCAACAATACATGGTGTCACCCAACTGTTCCCATAAAGTGTTACTTTACTGTCGAACTTGCTCTAGACAGTGACGCTCTCCCAAGGAGATGTAGTCGAAGTAGGACTTGCTCCCCAACGTCGGTCAGATCTTTGCAGGATAATCTGGGAACTGGTATTGCTTCATTCTGGTCTGAGAGAAGTCAACACGAGCTAGAACTTGGGTGGACCTCGTGATCAAAGCCGCTCGTGCCAAATTCTACCCGGCAGCTACTGCTGACAAATTCCATCCCCAAGTGTCCCGTGTGGGAAAGTCCTACTTACTTCCTGTTCTGAGGACGTCCACTCTCGGCTACATGAGTAGCTGAACCATGGAGCACCTACCAGTGCCCTGTCTTGAATGTGAGTATCAACACCCTCCATCGAGTTTCTTTGAAATATCTGCTACAATTTTCAGCTCCAAGTCCAACATTCCAATTAGATTTTTACAAACCCACTTCTGCCCCGTGAGGCTCTGCCCTCAACGCGCCTGAAGTAAGAAGTTGCTAAAACAGTCTTTTCTGAAATCTTTACGTAAAAATTGCTTGCCATTTTTTATGAATGATCCAGAAAACATCCACTAAAGAACAGTGTGTATTATGCTGGCTACTAGGTCACTAGTAACTGGTTACTAAGTATATGAAAAGCAGCGTATCTGCCTCAGCCCTACTAATAGTTCTTGACCCTATGATACATTGGGGACAAATGATTCCGTGATGTGTGTGATCTTTCCTTGGACTATAGGATCAGTTAAGCAGCATCTCTGGCCTCTACCTACTAGATGTCAGTAGCACCCATGCCCCCGTGAGACAATAAAAAAATTGTCTCTAGACATTGCCCTTTGTCCCCTTGGGGGGGTTAGTCTGCCCCAATGGAAAACTACTGCACTAACCGTGCATGTGCCGCATTTCTAGCCCCATCATGAAACAATGAGGTGACCTATCCTGGGTACCAGGAACTTGTTCTCCTTGGTGCGACATGGTGCCTCTTAAGCAGCCCACACCTACTGAAATATTAACCAATGACAAACCTGTAACCATAGAGATCTCCTGTCCCTCCCCACGACTTGTTTACTCCTGTCTATAAAAAGGCTGCAAAGGCTTTGTTCAGGGCCTCTCAGCGTCACCGGCAACGAGTGCGCGGAGGTCCGGGTTCAAACCTGCAAATAAACTACGCTTGCCGATTGGCTTTGACTCTGGTCTCTGGTGGTCTGTTTTTGGGGGTCTCTCGAACTCTGGGCATTTCACTACCACCACGCTCCCTCCTGTTACATCATCTCATTAGGAGACCCTCCTCCCAACAACCGCGCTTTTGATTAAATAGTCCTTTTTTCCGAAATGTCATACTCTGCTGGTAAACTAAAAACACATCTTCTGCACAAGATTTTCGAACAGGATTTGCCACCCCTAACACAATCGACTTCTGAATTGCTTTTCGGCTCTCCCAAAGTGTATAATGTCATTTTTTCTTTAAAAAAGAATTTTCACCTGAAGGGCTGGTTGTTTGTCATTCCTCTTGGGGGATTTTAATCCACTAACTTGCTGCTGCTGTTGCTGCTGAAGGAGTAGCTGTCTTGCCACTTGAAGTGCCTGGAAGGGAAAATGGGAGAAACACGTTTGTGTGAGTACCACCCATGCGGAGGGCTTCTTTTACATACAGGAAGACTCTGGGAAGGACACTTTGGGACGGGATCGTGACTTTTGCAATCCTGGGTGCATGACACAGCAGATAAAACTTCCCACTGGTCTAAGTTAGAAAACTTTCCACACTTTGTTGACATTTTCCTTGATTTAGCCAGTTTCACTGACCCTTCCTTAGGCAGAGCAATCCATCTAAGCAGACACTACTTCCACGTTACAGCTGACATAAAACTTGAACCAAGAATGAATGGGACTCGGAGGAAGGGAGGTGGAGAGGCCAAGGAGGACCTGGGCAAAAGACAAAGTCTTAGGGGACAATAGGCTCTTTTGGGAGACACCTTTATCCTCCAATTTTTCTTGGGGGTCCTGGGGAACTTAGGTCAAAAGTAAGACTTTGGCCCCTTTTAAGCCAAAATGAAGAGGAAAAACTAAATGGTGAACCATGCTATGGATAAAGGTATTTGAGAAGTGAGATCAAAGCAGGTAAGATATACCCAGGGTGACCTCGAAAGACCATATGTGAAAAAAAACTTAGCAAATGTGACCTCTAAGTCAACTCCGAGGGAACAGTATGTGCCTGTGAACGAAACTGATTATGTCTAATACAAAATGACTTTTTTAAGCTTCTGATGTGGGTCTTTTTTTTTTTTAAACAGATGGATGTTATTTTTTTTTTTAATATTTTTATTTATTTCTAGGAGAGAGAGAGACAGCGTGAGCAGGGGAGGGTCAGAGAGAGAGGGAGACACAGAATCAGAAGACAGGCTCCAGGCTCTGAGCTGGCAGTCAGCACAGAGCCCGACGCGGGGCTCGAACCCACGAACCGCGAGATCATGACCTAAGCGAAAGTCAGACGCTTAACCGACTAAGCCACCCAGGCGCCCCGATGTGGGTCTTATTTTATTTATTTATTTATACTTGGGGGGACTTTTGGGGGAGGGAGAGGGAGAGAGAGAGGGAAAGGGATAGGAAGAGGGAGAGGGGGAGAGAAAGAGGGGGAGGGAGAGGGAGAGAGGAGGGGAGGGAGAGAGAATCTTAAGCAGGTTCCACACTAAGTGCGGAGCTCAATGTGGGACTTGACACCTTGACCCTGGGATCACGGCCTGAGCCGAAATCAAGAGCTGAATGCTTACCTGACTGAGCCACCCAGGCGCCCTTATGGGTGGTTTTTATTTAAAGGCAGAGATTGGAGGACTAATATGAACTGGGGATAAAGCAAGAGGAAAATAGGAGAGTCCCCCCAAGGGCAGAATACAGACTGACCAGTTTTTCTGAAAGGTTCAAGTAAGGAAAGTGTCATCAATAAACCCTCCTGAGGACATTTACTGTCAAAGAATTTGACCGAAATAATAGGTAGCCGCACCTTTCCAAAAAGGGCAGCGGACCAGCAACAGAAGACTGAAGTCTGCAGACACCGTGCTAGAAAAATCACATGCAAAGTTAGATTATTGGAGTCAATTTGGCGGAGAGCCAAGAATGCTCACGCGCAAGGTATGCCAGGAATGTTCATTAATGACGTGCTTAGAGTTTAGAGACAAAATGGGATTTCGTGGGGCTTACATGACTAAAAATTTCTACGAAGTCACTAATTATTTGTGCCTAAAAGAAGATGTACACACCGATGTGGTCAATGTATCAAATGGACCTGATACTCTAAGTCTTAAAAGGTGTGCATGCGGGACTTAGGATGGCAGGGTGTTCCTCAAAGAGAAACAGAGGCTTCATTTCTATAAGAAAATGATGTATATAGTTCCAAAAAATGTGACAGTGATGCCGTGGAGTGGGGGAAGGGGAAGGTGTCACGGAGGTCCCTGTGTGTTGAACTCAGAGCAAAGGGAAAAGGGAGTGGCCATGAGGATCACTGTTCACGATTACAAACGTTCCATCAGCAAGAGTAGTACTTCTCTAAGGACAATTTCACCGAACTGAGCTCATAGCTATACCACTAAAACAAAGAGTATTTTAAAGACATTTTGTAAGGTTGGGCGGTACCTCTGTGTAAGAAGGGAGGTAATGAGACAGATGCACAGACAAATGGGTGACAAAGAGAAGATCTTGGGAAAGATACCACCTTCCCGTCCCACCTCCCCGCCCCGCCCACCCCCTTGTCCCAGGGAGGATCCTGCCTACTGAACTCCCCAGCACCAGCCCCTTCAGATGTAACGTACGGGCTACTGCGTCTGGGAAGGGAGAGACTTGTTCAAGAGAGCCTGCCTCGAAGGCCCTCCAGCAGAGAGGCTGTCTGAGTGGGGCATCTGGAAGCCACGATGCCTGGGAGAGATGCCCGAGACTCCAACCTGCTGTCTCTGAGGAGGCTTCACCATCACTGGACTCCGGGTTTCCTGGTCTCCTTGGAGACGCTCAGTACATGCGTAGGTGTAAAAGTGGGCAGAGTGAGGATTTCATTTATATCATATAAGAAAAATAGTCCCCTCTGCAAGGTGCCTGCGGGAGCAGAAGCCTCTCCTCCTACTGTATATGTTCCCTTAACTATTTCACATGAGGGCTTTATAGCTTTTTCATGTAGGAAAGGGCACCGCTACATATGTTAAGTGCTCACTTCAGAGTTCCCGGAGTAAGAATGGACGGATCAGCAAAGCAGGGTCTGGCTGCTAGCTGGAAAGGCAGAGAGAGGAGCCATAGATGACGGTGAAGAGAGAGTGCAGAGGAAGGTATGTTGGGGAAGAGTAAAAAGGTTAGGTACACTGGATACTAAAACAGAGCAAGCAAACAAAGGTCAAGCGACGAAAACTCCAAACTCACTAATATGTTTTAAAATGATTTACCATGTTTCACTGAGTATTTGGAGGTGTTCCAATTTTAAAAATGTTTATTTATTTATTTTTGAAAGGGAGAGATGGAGAGAGACGGAGACAGAGAGACAGAGAGAGAGAGAAAGAATCTCAAGCAGCCTCTGCGCTATCATTGTAGAGCCCAACCTGGGGCTCGACCTCATGAACTGGGAGATCATGACCTGAGCTGAAATCTAGAATTGGATGCCTAACTGGCTGAGCCACCCAGGTGCCCCAGGTATTCAAGTTTTAACTAACCAAATCTCAGAGAATTTGTACAGTTAACTCCTCTTTTTGGCCAAAGGGATGATACTCAGTGTTTTTTTTTTCTTAAACACACACACACACCACCACCACCACCATCACCACCACCACCACTACCACTACCACCACCACCACCACCACACCAAACTATTCTTAAGTTTTCATTAGAACATTGCATGGTTTAAGCAAAGGACTCAAACCTAAGTATTTAATGAATGTTTATTGAGTTGGCTCTATACATTTCAAAATTAGCTGGTGAAATCCTGGCAATTATTGTGCCGGTTTTAAGCAAAAAAGTCATGTAGGTGTGTAGTATCTTTTTTTGGACCCAATGTGGAGCACACAAACGTAACCAGTCACGTAATGAACTGCAGCTCCCTCATGGCATTTCGTACCGAGCCTTGCTAGAGAAAGATAATGAAAGACAGCAGCACAGGGCAGAAAAGGCTGAGGAACTTGCAGGAACACACGGATATCTGAGTCAAACTACCAAAGAGAGAAGGCTAAAGACGAAGGTATGTGCAAATTGGTTTTCCAAATTTTATTCTCAAAATGAATGCGAACAGCCAATATAATTGCAAATACTTGGGATGGAGAAGCAACACAAGTGCATATTATTCACCCCCATCTGACCTGTAATGAGCTGCCCCACCAGAATTCCCTGGCCTTATCGAGATCATGAAAACAAAGGTTGAACAAAGTACTACATCTATTCTCCCCCGCCCTCAAAGCAACTGAGGTCTCACCACGCATTTTTTTAAGTTTATTTATTTATTTTGGGAGAGGGAGAAAGTGTGAGTGGGGATGGGGACAGAGATAAAGGGAGAGAGAGAATCCCAAGCAGTCATCCACGTCAGCACGGAGCCAGACATGGGGCTGCACCTCAGGAGCCTCTGATTTCATGATCTGAGCCAAAATCAAGAGTCAGATGCTTAACTGACTGAACCACCCAGGTGCTCCCTCACCTAGTATTTAAAACAATTTGTTAGAACTTAAAATGCTGTGAAATCAACCATCAAAGGGCACTTCTTTTTCTGATTTCTATTGTGTATAAATCACTGTAATCTAGATTTTAAATGGTCATAAAAGGGAAGAGGAGTAAGCCCTTAGTGTATAGGAGTACACATATAAGAATTATCATATTAATATGAATTGTATTATGTCATTTGTAATATGAATCTCTGGTATCTACCACCTGTAGGAAGTAAAATATGTTTATTGTCATGTTCATTGTTGGTCAGTGGAAAATTTGGAATGACTGATGGGCTCCCCTTTGGAAAATGCACCAGAAACCTACTGGGTTCTCACACATACTTACTTGATAGCCATTTTCCCCTGTCACATCCATCAACATGAAATTAGTGTCCTTCATCTGAGACTCCACTGCCTGAACCTCCACTGCCTGAACCTCCAACTGAGGAATGAGGATGGACTCTTGGTATTTGTGTAACAGCATCTCAGTCACATATGGAAAGAAGTCCTTTAAGATACTCTGCTCAAAAAGATTAGATCCTTTGCATACAGAATAGTAAGGTGCGTGGACCTGTGTTTGTGTGTGTATGAGGGAGGGAGAAGGCGAGAGGGTTAGAAAGGGGCGGGAGAGAGGAAGAGAAAGAGAAAGGATATGAATAAACCAAAGAGTTTATCTTTTAAGAACCAAGGATCAACTCTGACTCAAGTTCCAGACCAACTGCTAATGTAAATAACTTAAAAGGTCCCATCCCATCTCTGGAGACCTTTTACTATTGATGGTAGTTCCTGGGCTGGGTTGAGTCAACACTTCCTTTGTAAGAGATGGGACAATCGTCTGGCACTGGACAACGTGGTACTGTGCTGAGTGCTAGGCTCGGGTTACAAGAAAGACGTAGTTTGAAGATGTCATAGAGAGGGGTG